CCAAGCACTTGGGCCATCTTCTACTGCTTTCCCAGGCCATAGCAGAGAGCTGGATAGGAAGAGAAGCAGCCAGGATTAGAACCGGTGCCCATATGGGATGCTGGTGCTTCAGGCCAGGGCTTTAACCCACTGCGCCACAGCGTCGGCCCTGAAAAGGCTATTCTTTATAGTACTTTATTCTTTTATATAATATTATATGTAGAATAGTTTGCTTTTTTGCATCAGAATAAACTTATCTTTAAAATACATTTTTTTCTCTTTTTAAAACATTTTTATCTATTGATTTGTATTTATTTGAAAGGCAGAGAGACAGAAACAGAGAGAGCTTCCATCTGCTGGTTTCACTCCTCAAATGCCTGCAACATCAGAGACTGGGCCAGGCTGGAGCCAGGAGCCCAGAATTCAATCCCGTTCTTCCAGGTGAGTGTCAGGGACCCAAACACTTGAGCCACCACCTTCTGCAGCCTGGGGTTGCATCAACAGGAAGTGGAAATCAAAAGCAGCATCGGGACTTGAACCCCAACACTCCTGTATGGGGTATGGACATCTTAGCTCTGCACCCCCTACCCCAGAATTGCTGTCTTCAGTTCCCTTTCAATGTGAGCATACAGAAAGGCAATGGAATTGGGTGTGCTGACTTTATTCTGCAACTTCACTCAACTCGCTTGTTAGTCCTAACACCTTCTTCCAACATTTTCAAGGTTTTTCACCCTCCTTCTGAGTGGGGATGCACGCTCCTTGGAGCAACGTAGCAGGACTGATGGGCAACGAGGAGTGCCCAGGGCGGGTCTGTAGCCATCAGGTGATTTTACACAGCCTGGCTCGGTGAGGAGGTGCAGACAGCAGGCCAGCAGAGCTGGGATTATTGGCCAGTCACTGCATGTGTGTTGAAGGCCTCTGTGCCAGGCTTCTTTCCATTTAAAGCAACAGAACCAATTCTACACAAAGGACACTATTGCTTTAAACATCCTGGATAAACAACACTGGATCATTGCCTGGACCCAGTGCTCATGAGAAGCCTTTTGCATCCTTCCCAGGTTATTGTGGATTCATTCACTAGGGGATTCATCCTTGCTGGAGTCATCATAAGACTTTAAAATAAAGCGGGGGGCAGCTCTGTGGTGCAGCAGGTTAAAGCCCTGGCCTGAAGCGCCAGCATCCCTTATGGGTACTGGTTCGAGACCCGGCTGCTCTACTTCCCATCCAGCTCTCTGCTATGGCCTGGGAAAGCAGTAGAAGATGGCCCAAGTCCTTGGGCCCCTGAACCCTCATGGGAGACCCGGAAGAAACTCCTGGCTCCTGGCGTCGGATCTGCGCAGCTCCGGCCATTGCAACCATCTCGGGAGTGAACCAGCGGATGGAAGATCTTTCTGTTACTCCCTCTCACTGTCTGTAACTCAGCCTCTCAAATAAATAAAAATCCTTTTAAAAAAGATATATTTATTTACTTGAAAGGCATAGTGACACAGAGAGAGAGGGTTAAAGAGATCTTCCATCCACTGGTTCACTCCCCTGCCCCCTAAATGTTCACAAGAGCTGGGGCTGGGCCAGGCTGAAGCCAGGAGCCAGGAGCTCCAGCAGTGTTTCCCATGTGGATGGCAGGGGCCCAAGTACATTAGCAGGGAGGTGGGTGGGAGGCAGAACAGCTGGACCCTGAACTGGCACTCCCATATGGGATGCAAGCGTGAGCTGCCAGTGGAGGGAGGTGTCATTACCACACTTATCCTATGGCAACCACAAGGCCGGGCCACATCAGACTAGGACACAGAGACACCGAGGACATTACCTGAAGCTCTGACCCTCTCCCAAACTCCACCAGTCTGCTCTGCATCCATATATGCCCCCTTCCCTGGGCCAGAAAACACCCCCATTTCCATTGCCAGCCATGCAAATAATAAACTCTCCTTGTGCAGAGGGCTGGAGTCTCTGAATCCGGCTTCAGAGTCCATCAGTTGTCAGACACATCACACTGGTCCCACAACAAGTGTGGCATCCGGATGGGACTGGCCTCCCAGCTGCCCACCTGAGGCTGAGCCCTGGCCTGGGGCCCCAGTCCTGTGCCCTTCCACCCAGGGAGTTCCTTTCACAGGGACACGACTCCTAGGGAGCTGTGGGTTCTGCAGGGTGAGGCAGGCTCTGGGCACAGTCTCTTTTGTATCTAGAGGTTGTCCTGGGGATGAAGACATTTCTGGTGAGCCATCCTCCCAGCACCGCAACAGCCATACTAAAGCTGACCCTGTGCGCTGCTCTTTGCAAAAGTCCTGGTCTGATTCTCAAGGAAAAGAGGGGCCCGTTCGGGTTGGGGAGGGACCTTGTCTCCACCTGTGTTGGGAAACTGGATAATAAAGATGTCGTTAGCCAGGGGAACTACGTTATTTCTCAACGGAAAGAGAACCACATCCGGCCAGACTGGTTAAATAAGTAACCCTGGAGGCTGGCACCATGGCTCACTAGGCTAATCCTCCACCCTGCGGCGCCGGCACACCGGGTTCTAGTCCCAGTTGGGGCGCCAGATTCTGTTCCGGTTGCCCCTCTTCCAGTCCAGCTCTCTGCTGTGGCCAGGGAGTGCAGTGGAGGATGGCCCAAGTGCTTGGGCCCTGCACCTGCATGGGAGACCAGGAAAAGCACCTGGCTCCTGGCTTTGGATCGGTGCAGCGCGCTGGCCATAGCGGCCATTGTGGGGGGTGAACCAACGGAAAGAAGACCTTTCTCTCTGTCTCTTTCTCTCTCACTGTCTAACTCTGCCTGTCAAAAAAGAAAAAAAAAAAACAGTAACCCTGGAATACATGTGGTTCTGTGTGTCTCATGTGGGCATTCGTGTACTAATTAGTTTCCATTTCCACGTTCCTTTGCTAAATTAAGCAAGGGTCAATTATTTGGTGATCTTGGCAATAGGAACAGATTGGAGTTTTTTTCCAGTTTATGTGATTGGCGTAAAGAAAAACAAGAAAGAGAGATCTTCCATCCATTGACTCACTTCCCAAATGCCCACAAGACTCCAGGGTGGGCAGGCCAGAGCCAGGAGCCCATAAGTCAATTTAGGTGGCAGGGACTCAAGTACTTGAACCACCACCTGCTGCCTAGCAAAGTGTGCATTAGCAGGAAGCTGGATCAGAAGTGGAGGCACTCTGACATGGGATGGGGGCACCGCAGGAGGCACCCTGGCCCCCCGGGGCCCTATTGGAAAGCCTTTGTGCAGGTTCTCCGACTCAGAAGCTCAAGGAGACACTGCTCCCTCTGACCCCTTCAGGGTGCTCCTGGGTGACCAGGAGCCCTGCAGAAAAGCCAGAGTGTCTCAGCCACGGTATGAAGCGCTTGCCTAGAGAAAATCCACCAGGAGATGCCCTGTCCCCAGGTCAGAGGGAAGGACCTCCAGCTCATCGGGGAGGGCAGAAATAAAGGACTGGTCCCCCTGCACACTGGGCCCTCCTGCCTCCTTAAGTGTGCAAGAGGAACCCAAGCAACACTGAGTGAGCAGCACACACCTGACCAAACGCTACCTTAATTCCTCCTTGCAATCCTGTAGGCTGCCTTCCTTTTTTTTTTTAAAGATGTATTTATTTACTTGAAAGTCAGTTACACAGAGAGAGAAGGAGAGGCAGAGAGAGAGAGAGGTCTTCCATCTGCTGGTTCGCTCCTCAATTGGCCACAACAGCTGGAGCTGCGCTGATCCAAAGCCAAGAGCCAGGAGTTCATCTGGGTCTCCCATGCAGGTGCAGGGGCCTAAGAACTTGGGCCATCTTCTGCTGCTTTCCTAGGCCATAGCAGAGAGCTGGATCGGAGAGAAGCAGCTGGGACTCAAACCTGCGCCCATATGGGATGCCGGCACTTCAGGCAGTGGCTTTACCCACGACACCACAGCGCCGGCCCCTAGGCTGCCTTCTATACAGCTGCAGTGTGTTTGTCTATGGGTCTATGAGGTCACAAAGAGGATCGTGTTCCTCTGTAACACGACCCCAGCCTCCATGCCATTGGAGTGTGAGGAACACCAGCCGGAAACTGGACCTTTGGCTGATAACTCGACTTTGCAATTGGGTTTGTTCTGTAAGCATGAAAGAAAATGGGATGAGATTTCTGACATCCAGGTCTTTACGTGTTTACATCAGAATAAGGATTTATCCCCAAACACACGACGATGGTGCGCTGAGTCAGCAGATGGGAAAACCCCGTCAAGCCCACAGGAAGAGACGTCAGCGTCCCCTCTGCTTCTCACAGGAGCACCTGCCCCACCCCATGGCGACAGAGCCCCAGGTAAGAGGATGCAAGCCTCGCCTCCCCAGGGAAACCTGATGCCCCACCAGGAATGGCCTTCCCCTCCCACGCGCAGCGGGCACTCCCAGCCCTCAGCAGGGAAATGTCCTGAAGTCCCCGCAGGAATCGACAAAGATGTGCAACCCACACTTCACAAATGATCACTTTCCTTTTTCCACCTTGAATTTATATCATCGGAAACATGATATGCCCACAAACAGGACCCACGGAAGATGAAACATTTATTCACTTCCATTTTCACTACTCATCACCCTAACTGGGCAGGTGTACAAACCTTCAGGAGTTTTTTTTTTTTTTAATTTATTGATTTATTTTGAAAGTAAGAGTCACACAGAGAAAGATCTTCCATCCTCTGAGTCAGTTCCCAGATGACTACAATGGCCAGGCTGAAGTCAGGAGCCAGGGGCTTCTTCTGGGTCTAGCGACCCAAGCACTTGGGCCATTTTCCTCCACTTTTCCCAGGCCATTAGTAGGGAGCTGGATCAGAAGTGGAGCAGGGCTGGCGCCGCGGTTCACTAGGCTAATCCTCCGCCTTGCAGCGCCGGCACACCGGGTTCTAGTCCCAGTCGGGGCGCCGGATTCTGTACCGGTTGCTCCTCTTCCAGTCCAGCTCTCTGCTGTGGCCTGGGAGTGCAGTGGAGGTTGGCCCAAGTCCTTGGGCCCTACACCCACATGGGAGACCAGGAGAAGCACCTGGCTCCTGACTTTGGATCAGCACGGTGCGCCGGCCTGATTGTGGGATAACAGAGGGGGCCTCCAAACCTGGACATTTAAAGTATAGGAGGTCCAACAGGGAAAGAAAATCCTTCAGAATTCATAGAAAGAATTTTTGATGCTTACAGAGAGGATACTGATCTCAACACACAGGCCCCAGAAAACCAGTGCCATGCCACGGGTCACAGTGCCCCAGATGCTGGAAAGAAATTCCGAAAGTTAGAAGAGGGACTTGGGTATCCCACGTCCCTGTTGGCTGAGGTTGCTTTTCAAGGTTTTTAACAACAGAGACCAGGCTCAAGAAAGGCGGAAGTGATGAGACATGTGGCATTTGTCCCCAGGAAAAATCCAAACACCTCTGGACCAACCAAGAAGACCACTGGGGTAAGCTAACCACTTAGCAAAAGGGGACCTCCTCTGTGCCATCATCAATGTGCTTAGATCATCAATGCCAACAAGAAAATAAAAAGGGCAGCCAGGAGCAGGGCTCCCAGGTGCCACCACTGACTGAGAGTGACCGGGACTGGTGGGGCCCAGAGGCTCCCCCCAGTTTGTACAGCAGTCTTAACGTTTCTCACAAGGATCCTGCCTGACTGCACCTGTGGGAAAGAAGCCAGCAGACTTTCTAACTGATACCGGCGCCACTCACTTCATTCTAAAGTCTCCAGCAGCTCCACTCTCTTTCTAAAAGCATGCTTGTGGCCAGGGTTTCAGGAAGAACTATACAAAAGCCTTTTATTCAACCTCTGGGATGTAAAATTGGAAAAGCTTACTCAAAACATTGCTCCTTACACATGCCTGCATGCCCAAGAGCGCTGCTGGGATGTGATTTATTGGCTAACCTAAATGCCCAGGTAACCAGCTCTGCCAGCAAGGCAAACACTAACGTTCCATCAGTGTGGGCTGTGTCTGTCTAGCTGCCCTATGAGAATCAGGACCGCAACTGACCAGAGAAACACCCTGGGATATTCTCCCGCAGGTAAATCCGGGTAGCTGGAACACAGAACAAACTCCAACAGTGGAGCCAGTCGTGACAGAACCTACGGGGAAAAGCTGGGCTCCTAAAATCAAACAGTGCTCTCCAACAAGGCAGGCTTTGGCAAGAATCAAGCATTAATAGACATCTGCCTGAAAAATGGGCTCACTGGGCCCTGTCACTCTCCTGACAATACTCCCATGTTTCCTGTGCAAAACCAGGAACCAGTGAGAGCTGGTGTGTGCAGGATCTGGGAGTCATAATCAGATCCTGAGACATCATCCACCTCCTTCCAGGGGCTTCCGCTGATTCCCTGCTAGATTTAAAGGAAGACTTTCTATGCATACCTCTGAGCCCGGAGTCTCAGGAACAAATGATGGAAAAATCCTGGACTGTGCTACCACTAGGTTTTTCAAATGTTCCACCTAACTTGGCAGAAGCTTTAGCCAAAGACTTCAGAGAATCAAAATAACAGAAGGGACCCTGCTTCAATAGGTGGATGATGTTCTGATGGCCAGCAAAACTAAAGAGACTTCAGACCTAAATAAGTCACTTTAAATTTCTTGGCACAGCGAGATTACAAGGTCTCTCAGTGAAAGGTTCAAATTTCCCAGCCCGCAGTTAAGGAGTTGATATTTATGTTAGCAAGAGGACAGACTTACTCCCTGATCAAAAGGGAGCTGCACCTGTGACCTGGAGCCAACCCCAGGGACTCCTCAGTGTGCCTGGCTCTTGCCACAACTGGATCCCAATTTAGGACTGACTGCAAAAGGCTGAGATTAAGCTGTCAAAGGCTACAGAACATGAAAGAGAATTCCAAACCATCCAAGAAAATCAACGATTTCACAATTTGAGAAAACTGAAAATTTTGTGCACAAGACGCAGGAGTTGAGTTTACGGGTCCTTGCACTGGGGTTGTGGCTGGGGGGCAGGGTGGGAGAAGGTACAAATCAACCAGTAGCATATTTTTTAAAACAACTAGATTGCACCAGTACTGTGGACAAAGCCACAACCTGCATTGCAGTCATCCCATACAGGTGCTGGTTCATGTCCCAGCTGCTCCACTTCCGATCCAGCTCTATGCATCAGACGATGGCCCACGTTCTTGGGCCCCTGCACCCATGTGGGAGACCCGGATGAAGCTCCTGGCTCCTGGCTTTGGATTGGCGCAACCCAGCTCCTGCTGTTGTGGTCATTTGGAGAGTGAACCAGCAGATGGAAGACCTCTCTCTCTCTCTGTCTCTACCTCTCTGTGTAATGCTTTCAAATAAATAAAATAAATCTTTTTAAAAAAGAAGAAGGCCGGCACCGTGGCTCACTTGGCTAATCCTCCACCTGTGGCACCGGCACCCTGGGTTCTAGTCCCAGTTGGGGTGCCGGTTCTGTCCCAGTTGCTCCTCTTCCAGTCCAGCTCTCTGCTGTGGCCTGGAAAGGCAGCAGAGGATGGCCCAAGTGCTTGGGTCCCTGTACCCGCATGGGAGACCAGGAGGAAGCACCTGCCTCCTGGCTTCTGATCGGCGCAGCGCCAGCTGTAGTGGCCATTTGGGGAGTAAACCAACAGAAGGAAGACCTTTCTGTCTCTCTCTCACTGTCTATAACTGTCTCTCTGTCTCTCTGTCTCTCTCTCTCTCTCTCACTGTCTAACTCTGCCTGTCAAAAAAATAAAAATAAAAATAAAATAAAAAATAAATAGAAGAAGAAGAAAAAGAAGACACAGACTTAGAGATGTTTTCAAATGGGAACAAGGTCATGGGTCAAGGGCAAAGGAAGGCCGAGTATTCGGAGGTAACAGATCCCAGGGGCAAAATCCTTGCCACCTGGAACTTCCACCAAGAGGGCAGAAATCATCACTTTCACGTTCTTCCTTCTTGCCAAGAAGGAAGAACCCATTCCCACAGAGCAACAGGAAATTTACTTCTTACCATAGGAAAAGAGAGAGTAAAACGCAGAAGACGCACCTGCCCTTTTAGAGGCAGCCACGCTGCCCAACGAGGTAGGAACAACACATTGTCCTGGACATCAGCGGACCGACAGTCACATCGCCAAGGAAGCAGCAAAGTAATCAGGTAGCTAGAATGGTAGTAAGAAAAGGGGAGCTGGAAGTGCAGATCTTTAAAAAAAAAAAAGATTTATTTATTTACTTGAAAGAGTTACAAAGAGAGAGAAGGAGAGGCAAAAAGAAAGAGAGGTCTTCCAACTGCTGGTTCACTCCCCAGATGGCCGCAACAGCTGGAGCTGCGCCGATCCGAAGCCAGGAGCCAGGAGCTTTTTCTGGATTTCCCATGAGGGTGCAGGGACCTGAGGACTTGGGCCATCTTCTACTGCTTTCTCAGGCCATAGCAGAGAGCTGGATTGGAAATGGAGCAGCCGGGACTTGAACCAGCACCTACATGGGATGCCAGCACTGCAGGCGGCGGCTTTACATGCTATGCCACACCACCAGCCCCTGAAGTGCAGATCTTCATACTGGTCCCCGCTCTCCACCTCAGTGCCTTCCAGCTGACCTACCCTGAAATGGATTTGGACAGAGCAGGAGAATGGGACATCCTCTTACCCTCGGGGCGGTGAGCACCTGGAATCATCCCGATCCCTGAAGACCGGATGGGAGATGAGCTCACCCAGCTCCATGAAGCACACGTACAGGGAGGGACACTGCCCTCGGATGCTGCAGTGGCTCCTGATGGGCCCCCAGCTACTCAGAAGGTAGTTCAGAGGTGTTAACTCTGTATCGAAAACATGGCTGAGACAGGTCCTCTGCCCGTCAGAAAAGGAGCTCACGGAGCAGGTATTTGACACAGTGGTTGAGAGGCCCCGTGGGACTCCTGCATTTCATATCAGAGGACTGGGGTTCCAGTCCTGGCTCTGCTCCCAATTCTAGCTTCCTGCTGGTGGGCACTCCAGGAGGCGACAGGGGATGGCTCAAGGACTTGGGTCACTGCCACTGAAGTGAGAGACCTGGACTGAGTTTTGGGCTCCTGCCTGTGGCCTGGCCCAGCCCTGGCTATTGCAGGCATTTGGGGAGTGAACCAGTAAACAGAAGATATCTCGGGGCTGGCGCTGTGGCATAGCGGGTAAAGCCACAGCCTGCAGTCCCAGCATCCCATATGGGTACCAATTTGAGTCCCGGCTGTTCCACTTCCGATCCAGCTCTCTGCTGTGGCCTAGGAACACAGTAGAAGATGGCCCAAGTCCTTGGGCCCCTGCACCCACGTGGGAGACTCGGAAGAAGCTCCTGGCTCCTGGCTTCAATCAGTCCACCTCCAGCCATTGCAGCCAACTGGGGAATGAACCAGCTGATGGAAGACACCTCTCTGCCTCTCCTTCTCTCTCTGTGTAACTGACTTTCAAGTAAAATATATAAATCTTTAAAAAATAGATATCTCTACTCTTGAAATAAACAAATTTTTTTTATCCAAGCAAAGAATAACATAAGAACTGCTTCTTTTGTCAATTAAAAAAAATAGTTCAAGTCAGAGGGTTCAAACCAGGAGAATATGGACAGGTTAATTTCACTATGATGCCTCAAGCAGAAGATAGTTTTTCATTTAAAAAAATCTTATTTATTTACAAAGGAGAGAGAGAGAGAGGAAGGGAGAGAGAGAGAGATCTTCCCACTCCCCAAATGGCTGCAATGGCCAAAGCTAGGCAGATCTGAAGCCAGGAGCCAGGAGCTTCTTCCAGGTCTCCCACACAGGTGCAGAGGCCCAAGCACCTGGACTGTCTTCTACTGCTTTCCCAGACACATTAGCAAAGAGCTGGATGGAAGTGGAACACTTGGAGATGAGAACCAGCACCCTTATGGGATGCGGGCACTGCAGGCAGAGACTTACCCAGTACGCCCCATCACAGGCCCCCCTATTATTGACTTTAACAACACTTTCCTGAATCCACTGCTTTTTTTTTTTTTTTTTTTTTGACAGAGTTATAGACAGCGAGAGAGAGAGAGAGAGAGAGAGAGAGGTCTTTCTTCTGTTGGTTCACTCCCCAAATGGCTGCTACGGCCAGCACTGCACCGATCCGAAGCCAGGAACCAGGAGCAAGCTGCTTCCTGGTCTCCGATGCGGGTGCAGGGCCCAAGGACCTGGACCATCCTCCACTGCACTCCCGGGCCACAGCAGAGAGCTGGACTGGAAGAGGAGCAACCGGGACTAGAACCCGGCGCTCATATGGAATGCCGGCGCTGCAAGCGGAGGATTAACCAAGTGAGCCATGGTACCGGCCCCTGAACCCACTGCTTCTTACCAGCCTGGAAAGATGATGCCATGATAGGAACTTCCCAGTCTTTGACAAAGGCTGGAAACCTCACAGAATGATGGCTATGGTGCCCGGGCTTTTTTGGCAGAGGGACCCTACAATTCCCAATGTACCTGCAACTATGGAGAGAAAGCCGTGGAAGTGATCAGTGGGGTGGGAGTACTGGATGCAAACTCTCCAGCCCCTGCACCCTGACTTGCTGTGCGTGTGTACCGTATGTGCTCAGAGTAATTATTCTACTGATGTTATTTTTTCTAAAGCATGGTTTTGAGTCCTGATGTACCTATTAGCTTCTAGAAACTTCAACACTTGTACCTGAAATATGTTTTAAGTTACTAAAACCCAAGTGACCCCTATTCTGTAATTCTCTGTGTTTCTCCCTCTAGAACTGTGAGGAATTAACCAGAAATAATCCACCTGATCTCCCAGGGCGAGCAAGCTTTAATCAAATGGCCTGTCAATTTCTGGAGAATGACCAGCTCCCAGGAGGGATGCATCAGAATTGGTAATACCTTGAGATGACTGCTTTGTCAGAGAGAGTCTATGCAGGTCTCTAAAGATACAACACTGGGAGCTGGCCCTGAGCCCTGGGCCTTCCTTGTCTGCGTCTCACTGCTAAGAAAAAGCAGAAAACATCAGAGAGACTCCCAGGGACAAAGCGGCGCTGGGTTGTCAGGTCTGGTCTCAGTGGCGAGGAAATAGTCAAAGCAGGATTTGGGGAACTTCCATGGGCAGAATCTATGCCTCCACGACACCAAACCACATGAGGAACTCGGAATCATAGCACCACGGTTCTGTTTCACAAAATTTCAATGAATAATTTCAACCTTTGCTGAACTTCTGGGTTTTTTTGGAACATGGTGTTGAGTGAGTCACCAGCACAGTGATTCTCTGCCAGCTTTTAGAATACATATATATTTTAAATTTTATATTCTTATAAAAATATATATTATGCAGTTTTAAGATATTTTAATATATTTCAAAATATTAAATATATTTTAAAATATATACCTATGTATATTTTTCAAAATATTTAAAATATATTTTTAAAAGATATATATATAAATCTTCTTTCAGGAGATTCAGATACTGAAAGCACTTGATTTATTTTTGAGGAGTGATCCTGTAGGACCAGCACAATAAGCCCACTTTTCTAGACTCTGAGAGGAGACACCAGGTTCGACATGAGGAGACAGTTTATTATTTGTGTGGCCGGCAAAGGAAATCAGGACTTTGGATCCAATGTTCCTCCTCCCCCGCTGGCTCAGAGCAGAAGCTGAGGAAGCCTGCGGGGTGGGGCGCTGCACTGCAGGTACCGTCCTCAGTTCCTCACTGTCTCAGCTGCGCACCTGCAGCCCCTGAGGAGGCCCTGCCCCGTGATCGCTGCAGGTGAGTGTAGTCATGGCGTCTCCTTGCACCGGCTCTCTTGGGGGCGCTCGTTCTGGCTTCAGTAAAGAATTAAAATTGTCCTCCGGGGAGTGGGGGACAGCACAGCTCACATATTGATCCTAACAGGGATGAAGATTTGACAGGGGAAGGAAACTGGAGTCCCTGAGGAGAAAAAGCAACCCGCAGATGGTCAACATGCCTGAGATCGCTCCCGCCCCTCATATAAATTTTGCTACAAATACAGAGTCTTGGCAAACTCTGTTTTAAATCTTTGTCAATAAACAGATTGACAGGAATGAGACACTAATACAATTCTGATGATTTTATGACTATTTTAAAATTTACTTTATATGGGCAAAGTTGAATATCTTTTCATTTCATAATTGTTGGTAGCCCTTGCCTATTTTCCTATTGGTGTTTCCACTTTTTATTTGTTGAATCTTTATTTAGTAGAGTCATTAAGCCTTTGACTATAATGTGAGGGTTTTTTTAAAAGATTTATTTATTTATTTGAAAGGCAGAGTTATAGAGAGGCAGAGAGAGAGAGCTCTTCCATCCACTGGTTCACTCCTCAAATGACCCCAACAGCCAGAGCTGAGCTGATCTGAAGCCAGGAGCCAGAAGCTTCTTCCTGAGTCTCCCATGTGGGTGCAAGGGCCATCTTCTACTGCTTTCCCGGGCGATAGCAGAGAGCTGTATCGGAAATGGAGCAGCGGGACTTGAACCGGCGCCCATATAGGATGCCAGCACCACAGGTGGCGGCATTACCTGCTATGCCACAGCGCTGGCCCCTATAATGTGAGTTTAAAATATGCTCCCTCAGCAATAAATAAATAAAATATTATGGCAAGAGTAAATAAATAAAATGGTGCCCCCTCCCATACTCCCTACATCATCTCCAGGTTTATTACAAAACCGAATTCAATGTAAATGCTACAGAAATAGTTGTTTTACTGTATTCTTTAGGGAATAATGAGAAGAAAAAATAGTTTGCACATGATCAGTACAGATGCAATTTTTATTCAAATATTTTCTGCAATGGATTGAATTCGCAGGTGTGGAGTTTGAGGAAGCAGAGGACCAGCTGTGCTCAGAGACTCTAATCTGCTTCCTAGCTGTTATCTGTCTTTAATACCATAGTGCTGGTGTGATTCCGAAGGATTTTTTTCAGTATCATCACATTATTTTTATCGAAATTGGCAGTAACTCTTGACAAAATTGTGTTGTATGATGAATACATTGCAACTGCTAGCACCTTCAATTAACTCTTTCCTGCAGACCACATATTTCAGGTGATAAAATGCTCTATGCTGGGCTGGTGCTGTGGCGTAGTGGGTTAAAGCCCCAGCCTGCAGCGCCAGCATCCCCTGTGGGCGCAGGTTGGAGTCCCAGCTGCTCTGCATCCAATGAGCTCCCTGCTAATGTGCCTGGTAAAGCAGTGGAGGACGGCCAAGCCCTTGAGCCCCTTTACCCTCATGGGAGACCCAGAAAAAGCTCCTGGCTTCAGATTGGCACAGATCCGGCTGTTGTGGCCATCTGGTGAGTGAACCAGCAGATGAAAGACCTCTCTCCCACACTGTCTACCTCTCACTGTAACACTTTCAAATAAATAAACCTTTAAAACAAAAAAATGCTCTGTTACCCAGTAAACTCAGAAAATTCTGCCAAAAACTATTCTATTCCAATATTTTCATGGGTACTATATTGCTATCCTGTCTGTAACACCATAACTTGGCAATTTTTTTAAAGATTTATTTATTGGGCCGGTGCCACGGCTCACTAGGCTAATCCTCCCCCTGCGGCGCTGGCACTCTGGGTTCTAGTCCCGGTTGGGGCGCCGGATTCTGTTCCGGTTGCTCCTCTTCCAGTCCAGCTCTCTGCAGTGGCCCTGGAGTGCAGTGGAGGATGGCCCAAGTGCTTGGGCCCTACACCTGCATGGGAGATCAGGAGAAGCACCTGGCTCCTGGCTTTGGATCGGCGCAGCGCGCCGGCTGTAGCAACCATTTGGAGGGTGAACCAATGGAAGGAAGACCTTTCTCTCTGTCTCTCTCTCTCTCTCACTGTCTAACTCTGCCTGTCAAAAAAAAAAAAAAAGAGATTTATTTATTTATTCAAAAGAGCTATTCAGAGTTACGCAGAGAGAGGAGAGGCAGCTAGAGAGAGAGAGAGAGAGAGGCCTTCCATCCTCTGGTTCACTCCCTAATTGGCCGCACAGCCGGAGCTGCGCATATCCAAAGCCAGGAGCCAGGAGCTTCCTCCGGGTTTTCCCATATGGGTGCAGGGGCCCAAGGACTTGGGCCGTCTTCTACTGCTTTCCCAGGCCACAGCAGAGAGCTGGATTGAAAGTGGAGCAGCCAGGTCTCAAACCAGTGCCCATATGGGATGCCAGCGCTTCAGGCCAGGGCGTTAACCCACTGCATCACAGCGCCAGCTTCCTTGGCAAATATTTTTAGAAGATGAATGGATAAGCAATCTTTTTTTTTAATTTTTAAAAAATATTTTTTTCCTATTTATTTGAAAGGCAGAGTTGGAGAGAGAGAGAGAGAGAGAGAGAGAGAGAGAGAGAGAGAGAGAGAATCTTCCATCTGTTGGTTTACTCCCTGAATGGCCACAATGGCCAGGGCTGGGCCAGGCCAAAGCCAGGAGCCGAGAGCTTCCTCTGGATCTCCCCTGTAGGTGCAGGGGCCCAAGCACTTCAGCTGATAAACGATCTTTTGTTATGGTTCTTTCAACATTTCACCAGCTTTAGAAGGGGAAAAATCAAAGGCCTTCTCCATGTCACCCAATTACAGAAGAAACCATCAATTTTTTCATTTAACATGGAAGCACTATCAAAACAGTCTTCCCAGAAGGATGAGGTAGTCTAAACCTCAAAACTAAACCCGGTGGACTGTCTGAGTGCTCATCATTTAATGTGCTCAGCTTTTCACTTGCCTTCATGCTCATAAATCTCAAGGTTCTTCTGTTTGCATGCTTTGTTGCAATCAGTGCAATTTACTAAGCTTCTGAGGATAAAGTTGTCAGCACTTCACTTAATGAATATTTTTGATTAAAGATTTGCAATGGGGCCACTGTTATGGCGTAGCGGGTAAAGCCACCATCCCAAATGGACACTGGTTTGCATTCCGGCTGTTTCACTTCTGATCCAGCTCCCTGCTAATGGCCTGAGAAAACAGCGGAAGACGCTGAGGCCCTGCACCCACGAGGGAGACATGGATGAAGCTCCTGGTCCTGGCTTCAGCTGGCTCAATCCTGGCAGGTTGCAGCCACCTGGGGAGTGAATCAGCGATGGAAGACCTCTCTCTCTCTCTCTCTCTCTCTCTCGCCCTTCCTCTCTGTAACTCTGACTTCCAAATAAATAATCATAAAAATAAAAGTTTTTTACTTTTATTAATGTAACTTGATGGCCTACCAAAGATTTTATTCAATATTAAGCTTTTTAACTAAACTTACCATAGTAATAACAATAATGTCAAGTGAACTTCCAAAAGCTTTCCTTTGATTCCAGAAACGGGTTGGGCGGAGGAGTGGACCAGGGAGGAATGGAGTCCTGATTGGAATTAGCGGATTTTCTTCTACCTGAAACGTCTGGGGAACAGCAATGTGGCACAGCGGGTTCAGCTGCCACCTGCACTGCCGGCATCCTGTGTTGTTGCACCAGTTCAAGTCCCAGCCACTCTGTTTCCCACCCAGCTCCTTACTAAGATGCCTGGGAGGCAATGGAAGATGGCCCAAATGAAGCTTCGGCCATTCAGGAAGCAAACCAGTGGATGGAAGGTCTCTCTCTCTCTCTCTCTGTCACTCTGCCTTTCAAATAAATAAAATTATTTTTAAGATAAAACATTTGGAGCCGGCGCCGTGGCTCAATAGGCTAATCCTCCACCTTGCGGCGCCGGCACACCGGGTTCTAGTCCCGGTCGGGGCGCCGGATTCTGTCCCGGTTGCCCCTCTTCCAGGCCAGCTCTCTGCTATGGCCAGGGAGTGCAGTGGAGGATGGCCCAGGTGCTTGGGCCCTGCACCCCATGGGAGACCAGGAAAAGCACCTGGATCCTGGCTCCTGCCATCGGATCAGCGCGGTGCGCTGGCTGCAGCGGCGGCCATTGGAGGGTGAACCAACGGCAAAGGAAGACCTTTCTCTCTGTCTCTCTCTCTCACTGTCCACTCTGCCTATCAAAAATAAAAAAAAATAAAAAAAATAAAAAAATAAAAAAAACATTTGATCGCACCAATATAAAATGAGCATGTTTGTTTACAAAATTCTTTTGTTAATGGGGTCAATGAATTAACAACTATTAAGTTCACTTTTCACTCTGGCTCAGGAAAACTTGGAATTCAAAATTGCAAAACGTAATTCAGAACAGCCGGCTTTTCTCTCTGACCGTACTTCCACAGAGTGGTGCCTTCCGCAGCTGCAGGGGTGAAATCGTTGTCCTGCAGCAGCCCCTTAAATACCCAGCAGCTCGGAGTAGATGCTTCTGCCTCTCCTGCGGACCCATGCCTGCGGGCTTTCCCGAGCAGCGACAGCACCGCCCTCCCCGTGCCGGACGGTCAGCGGCGACAAACATGGTGTACAAGTTCCAGACTCATCAGCAAGTTTCTCTAAAACACGCACAGCACCATTTAATTTCTTCTTATTTTGGCCCACGGCTGCCAAAAGCATTCCAAAGTGTTCAAAAATTAAAAAATCAATACCATAAACAAATAAGTAAATAAGTCAAACAAATCAGTTTGTACCATACAGTAAATAACAAAGCCTCCATAGCAAGGCAAGCAGGTTATTTTCTGTATGACTGTTGCAGAATAAGGCATGTTTCTTTCTTTTCCCACACCTATCTTGCTCCACCTCCCAGGTTCAGCTCTGACCATCTGGCCTTGATATGTTGTGCATTTCACAGGTCACTTCATAGGCCACTGAACAACTGGATGTCACACCACGTGACTGGCAGGGGAACACGTGTCAATTACTTCTTCCACAACCATCCACGACCTAAAGGCGATGGCTGACCCCAGCCGTGCATGCCCGTGCCGTCCATCCTTGAGAGCAGGACGGGGCGAGGGAGAGGTTGCAGGGATGGAAGACGGGCTGCAGAAAGAAACGTTGTCACCAGTAGCAGCCTTCCAGATGCAGCCGTGTGTTAAAGCGGTTCTCAGTGCTACAAGAGACTATGGCGGAAATGCAAAGCAATGCTCTACCAAACTCAGTTCATTTGTGTGCATTAACAATAATAGGAATACTTGGTTAAAATGTGGCAACTCCAGGTTTCGTCCTTAATACCCACTTTAAATGTTTTTTACCGGCTGCTTCCATCACAGAAAGTACAAAACCCCACTGTGATCATCACATCCCCCAGATTAAAAAAAAAAAAAAAAAAAACACCTACTCATATAAGGGGGACTTGCTCAGAACAGACTCACCTCGAAAGAGAGTCAGGTGCCCAGGCAGCACTGCACCGATAGAGTGGAAATATTACTCGTGCCTCGGAGTCACACTCACGGAAAGGTGTTGCCTGCGGGGAAGACACTCCACCTTTGAGGACAGGAAGTGCTCAGTTCAGTGGTCGGTGCTGAGACCCTCACCGGGCCATGTCTACTACAATGGCGCAGAGGATATATGTGCCCGTGTACAACAGACACCTCGGGGTGGCTCCTTTTCTTTGGAGACACAGTTGTAGGTTTCATCTCTCCTAAGTGGAAAATGCCAGGATTTAAATTTGAGCCCCCAAAATGGCAATATTTAGCACTCTTACACCACACAAAGTGTATTTTCCCTACAGTCAAATTAAGCTTCCCAAAGATTCAATCAGTGGGGACCGGTGTTGTGGTACAGCAGGTTAAGCTCCTGCCTACGACACAGGCATCCTATAAGGAGCACTGGTTCGAGTCCTGGCTGCCCCGCTTCCATTCCAGCTCCCTGCTAATGCACCTGGGAAGGCAATGGAAGATGGCTCAAATACTTGGGTTCCTGCCACCCACATGGGAGACCCGGATGGAGTTCCTTGCTTCTGGCTTCAGCTTAGCCCAGCCATGGATAATGTGGCCATTTGGCGAGTGAACCAGCAGATAGATGGAAGATCTCTTTCTCTCTCCGTCACTGCCTCTCTCTGTCTCTCCCTCTCTCTCTGTTACTCTGCCTTTCAAGTAATTAAAATAAATCTATTTTAAAAATAAAATATTTGATAACACCGATATAAAATGAGCATGTTTAACTGTTTACAAAATTCCGTTGTTAATGGACTCAATGAATTAACAGCTATAAGTTCACTTTTCACTCTGGCTCAGAAAAAAACTTGGAATTCAAAATAGCAAAACTTAATTCAGAACAGCCCTCAGGTCAGAGAAAAGCTGTGCTTCCGCAGAGTGGTGCCTTTCAAGTAAATAAATATTTTTTTAAAAAATGAGTCAGTCAATGAGTTAAATCACTCCACTGGCAACAACAACCATGCTTCTTGAATGCCAGGCCGTTCTAGATGCCAGGAATTCAACACTGAGGAGAACAGTTTTCGTCTTGTTGAAGGAAAACAAGGAGGTTCGAAATAAATCTCTTAGTCTATTCTAGACTGACCGGCTCTACGATAGCCTGCAGGTGAAGCCTATCAGAACTACAGCTGTCCCCAAAACTGTTAGCGTAAGAGATTTCCCAGAGAATGTGGGATAAAACGAAAGATACAAAAGCATTACTCAAAGATAGAGGATGCAGGACAAGAGGCAGGCAATATTCCAGAAACAAGAGTCAGCATGTGCAAAATCCCAGGGGTAGGTGAAAACAAGGTGCACTCAAGGAGCTAAAAGGAAAATCAGGGGCCAGTGCAGGTAAAGCTGCCACCTGCAAGGCCAGCATCCCACAGGGGCGCCCGTTTGAGTTCCGGCTGCTCCACTTCCGATCCAGCTCCCTGCTAAGGCACCTGGGAAAGCAGCAGAAGATGCTGGGTCCCCTGCATCTACATGGGAGACCCAGAAGAAGCTCCTGGCTCCTGGCTTCAGCTCTGGCCGTTGTGACCATCTGGGGAGTGCACCAGCAGATGGAAGATCTCTGTCTTTCCCAGCCCCTCTCTGCCTTTCAAATGTCAAATGAATAAAATAAACCTTTAAAAAAAAAAAAAGAAGAAGAAGAAATGAAAAACACGGAGCAGGAGATAGGCAGTGGAAACAGAGGCAGAAAGAAGCCAGACCCTGAGGGCCTTCATACCTATGTTTAATTGCTGTTTTTAAAGTTCCGAGGTAAATTAAAGTGCAGGAGAGAGTGTCAATCATCCACAAAGCAAGACTTCCGAAAAGGCAGAAGCAGATGGAAGTCAGAGCTCAGAGAGAGCGCGGAGTCTCACACGAGTCTTGCAGAGTAACGGAAACACATCGGGGAAGGAGGGCGCCGCTCCACGGACAACTGTGGATGTACTGGCAGGCACATCCTGCCAATACAGGTAATTTATTTCTCTGTGAAGCTGATGCTGGCATCTGCTGTGGCTGCGGCAGGATTTGGCAGCATAGGTGGCTTACAGAACCAGAAGGTCCAAAATCCTGTCTCTGGTAAATAGGAAATATCACCACATAGGGAGCCATTTTAAATCCAACTGGGAAGAGGTAAAAGTGTACTTGAAGCTATAGGCCAGAAGTCTATAATGTATAATCTTGATAGTTTTATATCCTTTTTTTAAGATTTATTTATTTGAAAGGGAGAGTTACACAGAGAGAGAAGGAGGGGCAGAGAGGCAGAGAGAGAGAGAAAGAGAGAGGGCTTCCATCTGCCGGTTCACTTCCCAGATGGCCGCAATGGCCAGAGCTGCGCCGATCCGAAGCCAGAAGCTACGAGCTTTTTCCAGGTCTCCCACGTGGGTGTAGGGGCCCAAGGACTTGGGCCATCTTCCACTGCTTTCCCAGGCCACAGCAGAGAGCTGGATCAGAAGAGGAGCAGCTGGGACTCGAACTGGGGTCCACATGTGATGTCAGCACTGCAGACGGCAGCTTTACCCACTACACCACAGCACAGGCCCCTGCTTCTTTTTTAAATCTGTTTCAGGGGCCAGCACTGTGGCATAGTGGGTTAAAGCTCCAGCCTGCAGCACGGGCATCCCATATGGGCATGGTTCGAGTCTCACTGTTCCACTTTCCGATCTAGCTCCCTGCTAATGTGCCTGGAGAAGCAGCGGAGAATGGCTCAAGTCCTTGGGCCCCTGCACCCACATGGGAGAGACAGAAGAGGCTCCTGGCTCCTGGCTTCGGATTGCCTCAGCCGTTGCGGCCAACTAGGGAGTGAACTGGCAGATGGAAGACCTCTCTCTCTCTCTGGCTCCACCTCTCTCTCTCTCTCTGGCTCAACCTCTCTGTGTGACTCTGTCTTTCAGATAAATAAAACAAACCTTTAAAAATAAATAAATAAATAAATCTGCTTCAACAATTCCTGTTTTTATAGCAACTAATTCCCACCTATTCTTTTCTTCAGCCTTTCCAGCTTCTAAATTTGAATATATTAAGTATGGCTCCATATTCTTTTCTCACAAAGCGCTCATCACCAGGGGTTCCTCTAAGAACAATGCTGGCTGCAACCCAAGTAAAGAAGTGTAGCGGTCACCCACCGTGCACTTCCCAAACAGTCCAAGCATCTGGGTCCTTTTCTACCCGAGAACTATTAAGAAGACCGTTCTTTTCCCCACAGTGGTTTATGCATTTTAAATATTATTATGTGTCTGTGATTTTTAATTTCTAACTCTGTTAGAATGTCCATGGCTTTTGCAATTTCTCCTTTTGTGAAGCCCCATGCTTTTATTTTCCCCCTAGCCCTCACCAAACTGACCAACTTTTTGTTATGGCCCCTCTTTTTAACTCTGCCATTTTGGAAGGCCTACAAAGAGCTAGGATTCAGTTCAGCTGCTTGGGATAGAAACTACAAAATAAGCAACTTACAAGACACAAGTTCTGGCTTTGTGGCGCAGCCGGTTAAGCGACCGCCTGCAATGCCAGCATCCCATACAGGCATCAGTTTGAGTCCTGGTCGCTCCTCTTCCCATCCTGATCCCTGGCAATGCACCTGGTAAAGCAGCACAAGGTGGCACAAGTGCTTGGGCTCCTGATGCCCATGTGGAAGACCCAGATAGAGTTCCAGGCTCCTGGTTTCAACCTGGCCCAGCCTCGCCATTGCGGTCACTTGGGGAGTGAAACAGAGGATGAAGGCATACGATTCCCTCCCTCACAGAAGACCAGAGGAAGGCAGTCCAGAATGCCTGGTAGAGGTTCTGCTGTCCTCCAGAGCCCAGCCACCATTTCTCTTTCTACTCCAAGCTCCTTAGGAGATACTTTCTATTCTCAAGGCCATAAGGCAGCTGCTAGGGCTCCAGCCATCATGCCCAATCTCCCAGCAGCAGGAAGAAAGAAGGGAGCAGGGCACAAAAGACATGGGTCAGCTGAGTCAGCTCTTTTCAGGAAGCCTTTGTGGGCATTTTCCACAGGAGTCCCACTCACAATTCCTCACGCGCCCACTACCAGCTTCAGGAGCAGCTGGAACTGTGGTCTACCTACCAGACAGTAGTCACCCAATAAAATCAGAATTCTGTTACTAGGAAAAAAGCAGGAATAGAATCTGAGTTGGCTGGGAACATGGATGCCACAGTCCACATGCTGTGCTCATTCTGTGAGTAAGCATCTTTATGTTTCCAACAAACCCATTTATATCTATGTTTCTATCAGTCTCAAAATTAATATCCATGGGGCCGGCACTGTGGCATAGCAGGTAAAGCCACTGCCTGTAGTGCAGGCATCCCACATAGGCACCAGTTCGAGACCCAGCTGCTCCTCTTCCGATCCAGCTCTCTGCTGTGGCCTGGGAAAGCAGTAGAAGATGGCCCAAGTCCTTGGGCCCCTGCACCCACAGGGGAGATCCAGAAGAAGCTCCTGGCTCCTGGCTTTGGATTGGCCCAGCTCCGGCTGTTACAGCCATTTGGGGAGTGAACCGGTGAATGGAAGATCTTTCTCTCTGTCTCTCCCTCTGTCTGTAACCCTACCTCTCAAATAATTAAATAAAATCTTTAAACAAGAAAATACAAGAAGTCAAATCATTAAGACATCGAGCTTTAGATACAAATATAATTCAATTATTGATTTTTAAGTCTATACATATGTTTGTAAGTGGGTGGTAAAGACTGGGAAGGATGCATAGGAAATTAAAGTTGTTACTCCTAGGGGCCAGTGCCGTGGCACAGTGGGTAAGGCAGCCCCCTGCAGTGCCGGCATCCCACATGGGAACCAGTTCAAGTCCTGGCTGCTCCATTTCCAATCCATCTCCCTACTTATGGCCTAAGAAGACAGCAGAGGATGGCCCAGGTCCCTGGACCCCTGCACCCATGTGGGAGACCTAGAGGAAGCACCAGGCTCCTGGCTTCAGATCAGCTCAGCTCCAGCCATTGCAGCTGTTTGGGAGTAAACCAGCAGATGGAAGACCTCTCTCCCTCTCTCTGTCTGCCTCTGTATCTCCACCTTTCAAATAAAAAAATCAATCTAAATGAAAAAGTGGTTGATTGTAGAAGAGAAGAATTTCAATATTAGAATTGAAGGGAATTTTTAACTTTCCATATTTTCTGAATTTTTACAAAATCATACACTGCCTTTGAATTTTTAATTAACTAAAATGAAAAAATAATTTCATTAAGGCAAGTATATAGGTGTATATTTATCAGCAGTAAAATACAGAGAGTATACTGGGGCTGGCACTGTGGCATAGCAGGTAAAGCCTCCACCTGCAGTGCCGGCATTCCACATGGGCACCGGTTCAAGACCTGGCTGCTCCACTTCCGATCTAGCTCTCTGCTATGGCCCAGGAAAGCAGTAGAGGAGAGCCCAAGTCCTTGAGCCCCTGCACCTGTGTGGGAGACCTGGAAGAAGCTCCTGGCTCCAGGCTTCAGATTGGTTCAGCTCCAGCCATTGCAGCCATATGGGGAGTGAATCAGCAGATGGAAGACCTCTCTCTCTCTCTCTCTCTCTCTCTCTCTCTGCCTCTCTTTCTCTCTGTGTGTAAATCTGACTTTCTAATAAATAAATAAATATTTTTAAAAATACAGTGAGTATAGCATCTATTAAAAAAAGTATGTGTAGGAACCGGCGCTGTGGCATTGTGGGTAAAGTTGCCACCTGCAGTGCCGGCATCCCATATGGGCACCAGTTCAAGTCCCATCTGCTCCACTTCTAATCCAGCTCTCTACTATGGCCTGGGAAAGCAATAAAAGATGGCCCAAGCCCTTGGGCCCCTGCACCCATGTGGGAGACTCAGAAGAAGCTCCTGGCTTTGGATCAGTGCAGCTCTGGCCACTGCAGCCAATTGGGGAGAGAACCTGCAGATGGAAGACCTCTCTCTCTGTCTCTCTGCTTTTCCTCTTCTTTCTGTGTAACTCTGACTTTCAAATAAATAAATCTTTTTTAAAAAAGAAAAAAATATGTGTAGTCTGCCAAAACTTGAACATATCTGTGTTCTATGTATGTAACTGATGTTTGGACGAGACATTTTTGTCCATGTTTTGTCAAAAAGTCCCCAAGAAGAAAAGAAAAGAAAAAAAGAAACAAATACAAAGTATCGAGTGCTTATACTTCCAAAGCAAAGTGCTACACTGTGGTGGAATGAGAAGGCCATGCCAAGATGGCAGCTTGCAACAGAAACTGCCTGGCAACAGGCTGTGATTAGATGTCTTCGGAAACCACATGGCAAAGGAGCCTGCCTGGCAAGAGGCTGTGATTGGTTAGGGCATAGACTGCCCCTTGACCAGATTGGCTGCCTTGGTTATATAAGCTGCTGTACCAACTGAAATAAATGAGTCTGCAGGCTGCTTGCCTCTGGCCTGCTTTCACCCGACTCCCAGGGTCTATGTGGTGACTCCGTGCCTCTTGCTCCCACCAGGCTCCTCCTCTCAGAACAAATCCACCTCAACCACCTACAGAGGCCACACTTGGACAGGTCCAAGTCGAAGTATTCTGACCTCCCCCAACACCCACCTCCAGAACCTATGAGTGGAAAGCCCACTGGGGGGCCCTTGGGAGAGGACCTGTCTCTGTGAGAGGATGCAGGTCCTCCCCTACATCACATGAAGTTAAATGGGGGAGGGCGTCAAGAGAAGCATTGGGGAGCTGTGTCCTCCAGATTGGGAGGGCTTGGGGGCTGACAGCAGTCTTTCTCCTGAAAATTCCCCCAGACAGAAACTTTGCCCATCACACTGCTCTGCACGATGGAACAGGGGCTTCCTTGTCCACAGCTCACTACGGAGAAATTAGCAAGGCCAAAGCTGCAGGTTCCCCATCAGCCAGAGATAGAGGGAGTCCCCTTGGAAGGAAGCCGCATCAGATCACCGGGAGATGGAGGCTACTTAGTAGGACACCTTGCAAAGTGACACCAAAGAGAAGGGGTCAGTGACACCCAGAGGGTCAGTACACAGTTGGCCAAGCCAAAGGGGAGCCGGTGAGAGGTCCTCAGGGGTGGGGCGAGGCCCTGAAACACCCACAAAGCAGCCTCAGGACAGATCCGCCAATCTAGGGTGCACTGGGTCCAGATTACACCTGTGCCAGGGCGCTAAAACCTTTCCTCCCTCTCTCTCCCCGAGCCTACGCCGAGCCCAGAAGAGTCAGACGCGGCCTCATGGGTAGAGACAGAGTGGTGAAGGGGAGAGCAGAATGGCCCCTGCCTTTCCTGCCCCACCACAAGCATCCAGTCCAGATAAGGTCCCGGGGAAAGGAAGCAGTCGAGGTGGGAGAAAGCAGAGACCTGTGATGTTTTAGCAGCCAGGCTTTCGACTGCCTGACAGTGCTGGGAAAGCAGCTATAAAACCTGTCCACAACTTCATCCGGGAGTGGGAAGAGCGGTTTCAAAGGCCAAGTTTCCAATGAAGGTGGTAGGGAAAAAAAAATAAGTTTCTCCCTTTCCTCGGACGGAGTCTAGCCCACTCAATAAGCCGTTCACACAGTGACAGTGTCCGTGACGCCACCACTGCCCACGGGGACTTCTTGGGGGAAAGGGCAGTCACACTCAGCCCAGAGGTCAGGGCTTCTTGTCAGGCTCAGACTCCTCCTCCGAGTGTAGTACAGGGAGGCTTGGAGAGTCCAGGGCTGTGGCGGGCCCGATGTCAGCAGACCGGGGCAGTGGCCAGGTGCACACTCCAGAACTGGCTCAGCACTGACCTTCAGCATCCCCCATCCTGAGCAGGAGGCCCTCCCCATGAGGTCCCGTCTCTGGCCCCTCCTTCTCTCCAACTCCACTGCGAGCTCTGTCCCTCCTCCAGCCCCCTCTTATCCGGTCCTTGTCTGGGAAAACTGGGGCTCTGCAAGCACACCTGCAACGTCTTTGCATCTTGAACTTGGGCTGAGATTGGAACCTCTGTGTCTGCTCCAGGATGGACTGTGGGGTGGGAGAAACAGTGCTTGGAGTCCTGGAAAGAGACCCAGAAGTAGAGGAGCACACAGACAGTGCAGACCGGCACATCAGCACGTGAGCCTTCCCCGAGCGCCCCTACCTCCTCCCACCACACACACATCCTGCAAACACTAAGACGCCCAACAGTAGCTGTCTCTGGAAGGTGACAGTCCACGTGGCATTCTCATTCTCGTTCTTTTTTTTCCCCACTTTGTTTTTTCTAAAATTACCATAATACATATATGCATACGTACAGAAATACCCACTGACATTGAAATGCACCTTGATGTATAGACAAGAAAGCATTTGCAGTGTTTATCGACAGGCTCTTTCCTATCTCTCTCATCTTAGGAAAGCAACTTCCCACCATACCGTATCCGGGAGCAGACGAGTGCTGACAAATCCGCCACCGCCACCACCAACCTGGTGACAGGTACCCCCACTTCTTCCTTTCTCACCTCACCAACAGAGCACTAGCATCTAGTTTTTCCTTCCTGGCTAAGCTGCAGAACTGAGGTTTCCCCTCACATCAAAGACAAGGAGGTCCCCTGGGGAAGGTCAAGTGCTCCACAGAACACTGACCCCAGACAGAAAGGGAGTCCCTGGGATTTACAAGGCCCTTTCAGAGGAGACAAAGAGCGTGTCTCCTGTTTGGATGATAGGAAATAGGGACAGCTATTTTTACTTTTCAAAAGCCCATAAAAACAGAATGACAAGCCGTGAGGTCAAAGGGAAGAGAACAGACCAAACATTAAGACTGTGAATTAATCTTCGAACAGCCTGGCAGGAGCTAGAAGAACATTCATTGAAACAGAAATACCTCCACGGGCAGTGAAACCACAACAGCACCATAGCCAACCAGGGACCTTGGAGGCAGGAGTGGGAGGGGTCCTGAGGAGGAGGTGCAGCTACAGGGAGTGGGCAGGCACAGAGGCATTTCTTTCAAGTCATCGGGTCCCTGGGACCAGGGGTCTCCTAAGACAGCCCACTTGGCCAGAGCTTCAAGTTCAGGATGTCACTCCAGATCCAGGCAATTGCTCGGGCCGCACTTGCTGCTCTCCGCAGGCTCCCTGGGACTAAGGGGACCCAGTTATTTGCCCTACTCCCTCGGGCCCCCGTCACCTGCCCTGCTATTTAAGGGAGACAATATGCCAACTGTCCCCTTCTCTGTGGTAGCCAAAACCCATTCTTTCACAGACTTTACTGAATGAACAAAGAGAAGTCAAACTAATCATAGATGTGTGCAAAGACACAGAAGTTGCAGAGTTTTCTTCTCCAGTGGTCAGAGGCCTCATGGTTCCTAGACCATTGTTCCCAATCTATCCCTACCTGAAGCCACAGAGGACGAAAGGTTCTGTCCCCAAGAGAGCTCCACCCACTCTGGATCTACAGTCGCCACCAGGAAATCCGGAAGTCTCTCCCGGAAAGAAGAAGGAGGCGGGGATAGAGACATGAAAGAGCTTCCGGATCCTGAGTGGCTACCCTCCGCGGAGAGTACGTGTATTCTCGCAAGGTGTCACAACACCCATGAGACGGGCATCTTAGATGAAGGGATGAGATGCTGGTGACACGAGTGGACTACACACACACACACACACACACACCAAAAAAACTTCAGCCAAATATAACTCGCCTCAGGCACGCTCCCTGAGCTCCCCGAGAGGAATGCGCCTGGAGGCCCCTACCTGGGCGTACACCATGCAGCATTTGTTAAACACCTACCATGTGCCGGGTGATACATCTCCCTTGCCTGTGACCTCGGCGCCTGCACATGGAAGTGGCGCCGTTATGGTTTACACTGTCTCCGTGGCTGCGGAAATACTCAATCGCGTTCCGGAGTTTGTGCAGCGGGTGGGCAATAGAGCTGGGGTTCAAGCCTGCACACTATTCAGGCTCCATCCACTCACCACCCATCTCTGAAGCAGCCTGCCCCATCCACCTCCACCTCTAGACTACGAGTCTTGGGATCCGGAAAATAACACCTTTTTTTTGTCCCCCCTCTGACTCCCCAGTATCAAAACATGTCCGGTGAGTAAGTAGGGGAAACACAACGACTTCACACTGTTTGTGGAAGAAAGGCGGGAAGGCATTGCCAGGAGCCAAGAGCTTCTTCCAGGTCTCCCACGTGGGTGCAGGGGCCTAACCAAGCATGTGGGCCATTTTCTACTGCTTTCTCAGGCCATAGCAGGGAGCTGGATCAGAAGTGGAGCGGCCAGGATTCAAACCGGTGCCCACATGGGCTGCTGGCACCACAGGTGGAGGCTTAGCCCACTATGCCACAGTGCCGGGCCCTGTAAGTATATTTTCAGTGTTCACTACCATGCCTTAGAGTAGCGGCTCTCTGGTCATTCTGTCTGAATCTCCCTCTCAAGCAGATTCTTGAGGAAAGACACACAGGTCCACAGTGTAGGTCCTTTACCTTCCAAATTCAGCTTTGCTGGATATGAAAGGCTTGGCTTTCCTCGAAATCTTACGTGTGCTATTCGACTTTTCTTCTTGCACGAACAGCACGGCTGTCGAAAAGTCCGGTAAGAATCCAACCTCTTTAAGTGGCAGACTGCGACTGCACACAGGCCCTGAGGCGCTGGGTTTGGGTTTGCTCGTTTTTTTTTTTAACTTTAAGCCAGGCGATTTCACCATGCTGTGGCTTAGTGTTGGTCACTCTGGGTTGGTAATCTCAGGTAGAGGACACACACTTTCGATTTACAGTTGCAAGTCTTTTTTACCTGGCCGTCTGCTCACTCCAGCTCCCTGCTAATGTACACCTGGGAGGTGAGTCATTGTTGGATTCCTGACACATTCCTGACACCTGTGTGGGAGTCCTGGCTTGTGTGCCCAGCTCCTGGCTTTGGTCTGGCCCCAGCCATGGCCACTGCAGGCCTTTGGAAAGTGAATCAGCATGTGGGAATTCTCTCCCCCTCTTTCTCCTTCCTTCTCTCTCTCTGAAATAAATTTAAAAATGAATAAATGAAAAGCAAAAATGAGGGGGCAGGCATTGTGGTGTGGTGGGTGAGGCCGCCCTGGGGATGCCTCTATCCCTCTATGGGAGTGCCTAGTCCACTTCCAGTTCAGCTTCCTATCAGTGCAGTCCTGGGACACAGCAGGTGAATTCTGGCCACTCACATGGGAGACCTGCATTTTATTCCAGGCTCCTGGCTTCGGCCTGGCCCAGCACTGGGGGTTGTGGGCATTTGGGCAGTGAACCAACAGATGGAAACTCTCTCTCTCTCTCTCTCTCTCTCCCTCTCTCTAAATAAATAAAGAAAAATAAACAAGAAGAAAGAATACAAAAAGAAAAAAGTCAGTTTATTTTGATGTACATGTTTGTTAAATCTGCGGAAAGCTTTTTCATAATATGCCTTTCCAATGAACTTTCTGAAGATCCCTCGTAGGTGTGTGTTCCTATTTGCCTGTTGATGTCTGTAACTCCCCATTGGATGCTCTGTATCTCTCCCTTCATTTATTTATTTATTTTTTATTTGACAGGTAGGGTTATAGAAAGTGAGAGAGAGAGACAGAGAAAGGTCTTCCTTCCATTGGTTCACTCCCCAAATGGCCGCTAGGGCCAGCACTGCGCCAATCCGAAGCCAGGAGCCAGGTGCTTCTTCTGGTCTCCCATGCGGGTGCAGGGCCCAAGCACTTGGGCCATCCTCCACTGCCCTTCTGGGCCACAGCAGAGAGCTGGACTGGAAGAGGAGCAACTGGGACTAGAACCTGGCACCCATATGGGATGCCAGTGCCGCAGGCAGAGGATTCACCAAGTGAGCCATGGCGCCAGCCCCTACTTCATTTATTTTTTATTTTTTACATTTCTCTTGCTTTTCTATTAACCTGAGGCATTATCTGTTCCATTAATTCATTCTTGCATTCCTCCGAGCTAATTTATGAAGTGATAATTTTTTATTGCTCACCCATTCCTGACTCTTGTCACTTTATTTCTGAGTTCATAATTTTGATTGATGATCTTTTATGCTTTACCTCGTTTTCTCAATGCTTTTTAGCTCATTTTGAAAAAAAAAAGATGTCTTGGCATGCTTTCCTTGCTTGTCTGTGCAAATGTTACTCTGGTTTTCTTTTTTATAAAAAAAATTATGAGATTAGACCTCAGTGCTTCTCCATTGCTCATTTTTACATCAAGTTGGAATTCCTCGACTTTTAGAAGGAAATATGGTTCAAATTAGTTTTTCTAATTTCCTGGAACTCTCGCTTCTGTTGTTTTCATGTCATGTTTAAAGAAATACATGGCAGCCTGCTTTTCAAGATCCCTTGGCTTGGAGCTGGCATTGTGGTACAGTGGGTTAAGCTATTGCCTATAATGACAGCATCCCACATGGACGCCTGTTCGAGTCCCGGCTGCTCTACTTCCCATCCAGTTCCCTGCTAATGCACCTGGGAAAGCTTTGGAAGATGATGCAAGTGCTTGGACCCCTGCCACTCACATGGGAGACCCCGAGGGAGGCTCCAGACTATGGCCTGGCCTAGGCCAGCCCCAGGGCATGGCCATTTGGGGAGTGAATCAGCAGATGAACAATCTCCCTCCTTCACATTGTCCAGCCTGTCCCCACACTGAGCACTAGAACCACCTGCAAAGGAGCGGGGGACCCGCACCCCACATTTCAGAAGCATGGTTCTTGGTTATTATCAGGAGACTGCAGGTGGGAAGTCCCCCCTCTTCCTTCCAACACAGTTCCTGACCCAGTGCCCGCTGAGCCTCTCTGTCCCCTGTTTCAACGACTACCCTGAAGTTGAATGGAGCTTCCCAGGATTCAGCCAAATACAGAACCCACCGACAGTGCCCCCGTACTGCTGTCCCCAGCTCACCACTGCCTGTCCGGTGGTTTCCAGCCCTTCTGATGCGTCAGGCATGAAAGGGAGACCTCCATGTGCCAGCAAGGCTGCAGAGGCTCCGGGGACTAGAGCTGAGGGCCTCACTCCTTCCTCCATAGGGAGAGAGAAACTGAGGAGAGACTTCTTTTCCTCTCATCCATCCGTTCATTCAACAAATGTGCACCAAGGACATTTCTCAGCAGTGGCCCTCCTGTGCACGCGGCCCCGTGGGAGTCACGGAAATGAGACAGGCAGGCGCTGGGCTGGGCTACATGGAAGAGAGCGGCTTAAAGGCCGAGGGTGTCCCTGGGGGCCTTCTGCTGTCCAAGACGGGCGAGATCTGTTAAGTCAGGAGCTCCTGATCCTGGGGCACCCAGCAGAAGAGCTGGGAGGTGCCTTTCCTCCACCCTCTCACGGGAGGCAGCCACACGACTTCAGAATGGATCTTGGGCCCTGGGAAAAGCCGGGAACACTGGTGCTCAGCCCAGCGTTTCTGGAAAGCAGAAGGACGCATCCAGGGGCCTGGGAGGAAGGGGTGGGTGATGACTGTTGGGCTGGGCCATGTCCTCAGGGTGCCCCTGGGAGAGGTCAGCTGTCCACCCGGAAGGGAGGGCTGCAGCCCTGGAGTCTTGGGCAGTTCTGGGGGCACTGGGAGGGAGACTTGGGACCAAGACTAGGGCCCGAGAGGAATGGACTGACACTCGCTTTACCCCGGAAGGGACAGAAGCCAAGAGAGGGGCACCGACTTCCCAGGGAGACTCTGCAGAGCCACAGAAGAACCCTGGCTTCTCCTGCCCTCAGTAGACAGGGTCCCAGGAAGTGGATTCACACACCAAAGAGGGCCAGGACACTTCCAGGGGGCGTGATGTAGCCAGCATTCAGAACTGCCTCTAAACTTCTAACGTAGTAGCGACAGCAAAGCTGGAAAGGAGAGGAGGCTGAATGGGAGGTGAGGGGCTCTGCTTACTGTATCAGCAAGCCCAGGCTGGCCGCATTACCCCGGGAGCAGCTCCCATCCTAACCCACGACATGCCCGCTCAGAGACCTTCCTGCCACACAGGTGGCTTCTGCTGCTCCCACGGCTCACCCAGACGCGGCTAACACACGCCAGCTTTCATGCTATTCTCCACGCCTCCGGCCTTCTCTGTAAGCTGAGAAATAAGCAAGCCCTGGGGGTCAGAACAATCTGCTTTTCTTAACTCCAATCTAAGAGTTTCATCCTGGAGGAGAGAGGGGACAGAGCCAGGCCGTGCAGAATCCGCACCCCTCCCCAGGGTGGGGGCTGGGGGAGTCCCTCCAGACAATGTCGCCACCTTGCCACCGCATTCAGACCCCTGAGGTTGTCCCTGGCTCCCACGTTTGTTTAACTTGTTTCGCTGGGCAGAAGTGATCTGGAATGTGCAGCATGAGTTGTTTTAAGGAGAATAAGCAAAGAATTAAAACACAAAAGCCAGCCAGGATTCCTACAGCCCAGCCGGCAGAAGGCTCCCCCTCCCCTCCCGGGGCCTGCCTCCTGCCCCGTAGCCCAGCTGCTTGGTCTGCAGAAATCTGCAGGCGTCCCGCCCTGCACTCGAGCCTCCCGACCCCAGCCTGTGTTTCTTCCAGAAAACCCTCCTTCTCCCACTGCCCAGAGACTTACCAGTGGTCTGGCCTCCCATACATCCATGAGATCTCCCAGGACCCCTGGCCAGTCCTGGTTTCCCTGTGCAGTCGGGAGAAGGCTGGTGAGAGCACGCAGAGTTGGGGAGGCAGGGGCAGGGGGAGCCAACAGGACCAGAAGGGCCAATCACTGGCCAGAGCTTGACTTTACCTTTCGGGTGCACCCTCCTGCTTCTCCCCAGGCCCCCTCACACATCCGAACTAAATTATCTCATTCTTATCGCAGAATAATTCATAACAGAAATAACTGGCTATAGATCTGTTCTCCAAAATCATGCATAGTTTGTGCAGAGGTGCTTGGTTCTGTGCTTAAGAAAATATTTCTGTGAGTTTTGAGTAATGTCAGAAGAAAGGTCCTTTGGGTGATGTTAAAAGACAATTAGAGGGGCTGGCGAGGGCTAAAGCTGCCGCCTGCAATGCTGGCATCCCATATGGGTGCCAGTTCAGTCCTGGTTGCTCCACTTCTGATCCAGCTCCCTGCTAATGTGCCTGGGAAAGCAGCAGGAGATAAGATAGACCAAGTGCTTGGGCCTCTGCACCCATGTGGAAGACCAGGATGAAGCTCCTGGCTCCTGGCTTCAACCTGGCCCAGCCTTGGCCATTGCAGCCATTTCGGGTGTGAACCAGCGGATGGAAGACCTCTCTCTCTCTTTCTCTCTCTCTCTCTCTCTGTCTCTTCCTCTCTGTGTGTAACTCTTTCAAATAAATAAATCTTTTTTAAAAAATAAAAAAGGATAATCAGAAAACTTGCAGACAGATTTGAACCTTTAAAACAAAGCACATTTATTTGCAGTGTTTTCAAGGAATTCCTTTTGAGCTGGGCTTCCTAAATAAGATACAAGGGAGGCCGGCGCCGCGGCTCACTAGGCTAATCCTCCGCCTAGCGGCGCCGGCACACCAGGTTCTAGTCCCGGTCAGGACGCCGGATTCTGTCCCGGTTGCCCCTCTTCCAGGCCAGCCCTCTGCTGTGGCCAGGGAGTGCAGTGGAGGATGGCCCAAGTGCTTGGGCTCTGCACCCCATGGGAGACCAGGAAAAGCACCTGGCTCCTGGCTCCTGCCATCAGATCAGCGCGGTGCGCCGGCCGCAGCGCGCCGGCCGCGGCGGCCATTGGAGGGTGAACCAACGGCAAAAGGAAGACCTTTCTCTCTGTCTCTCTCTCTCACTGTCCACTCTGCCTGTCAAAAAAAAAAAAGATACAAGGGAAGGGGGCTGGCACTGTGGCATACCAGGCTAAGCCTCTGCCTGCAGTGGTGTCATCCCATAGGAGCAGCCGGTTCAAGTCCTGGCTGCTCCACTTCTGATCCAGCTCCCTGCTGATGGCCTGGGAAAGCAGTAGAAGATGGCCCAAGTCCTTGGGCCCTGCATCCACGTGGGAGACCCAGAAGAAGCTCCTGGCTCCTGGCTTTGGATCCGTGCAGCTCTGGTCGTTGTAGCCTTTTGGGGAGCAAACCAGCAGATGTGTCCCCCTCTTGCTGTAACTCTGCCTCTCAAACAAATAAATAAATTTTAAAAAATAAAATAAAATAAAAGATACAGGGAAGGTGGGGGTGGGAGTTGTGGACAGCAAAGCACCCGGAGGCCTGTTCCTTCTTTTGCTCACGTGTCACCTGCAGATGTGAGGTGAGTATCGTACAAGACAGAGAAGCTTCTTCTCACTAGGGCGTGGGCACCCCACAGGGTAAAGGGGTCGAGGCTCTATTTGTTTGGAGAACTTGTGCTTGACAGAGTTGAGGTGTGCGGTGGTGGATCACGGGACAGAGATTTTCTCTCAACCTGGGCTACTCCAACGGCAGGCAGCAGCGTAGCCAAGTTTTCAGTGCAGCAAGGTGAAACTCCCCAGGGCGCTTGATGTGGGCAATGAATATATCAATTTCCAAGCCAGGGTCTTGCCTCCTGCAGAGACAGAAAGTCTCAGCGGGGGACTGTGCAAATAGGGACAGAATTTATTTAGCAGTGAGGAAATAAGCATATATTCGCATGAAACAGTCGGCCTCCCACAATGAGAAACAACCCATGGGAGTGGGCCAAAGAGGTGCCCATGAAGGAGAGAGAAAAAGAACTCTAGAACGAATGGTGCCTCCAAGTAAATGGAGGGATCCACATCCATGGTGGAAAGAGAGCTCCCTCCTGCCTTCTATCTCTTTTTATAGGGAAGGTACTCCATAAACATTTCTTGAATGAATGAAGAATGAAGTTGAGTCAATGGGTAAGGAGTGCCAGGGAAAGGGGGTGTTCATGGGACACTCAGTCTAAGGACAGAGAGATGACAGGAAGCTCCCTACGTCAGGGAAGCAAGTTCCCCAGGGCCAGTGAGAGGTGAGGTGTGGGCGACCAAAGCCCACCTTGAAGTTGCAGCAAAGACAAAAACCTTATGATGCTGCTGCTTAGACAAATTCAGAGAAAGGGGCTGTGCTGCACATCTGGGGAGGATTCAGGGCACAGAGAACAGCTGAAGGAATCCAGACACAAATAAAACGGACAATTCACGAGGACAAGAAAATCAGAGGGAGCAGCCAACGTGAGAGCGGAAGCTCCTGGGAATGCGGGGAGTTGTCAGCAGGGGAGCTGGGTTTCTCCCGGGGCAGGAGAACATCCACTGTGTGCCAAAGAGAAGTACACTCAGCTCGCCAGCTGGGCTCTGCACCTGGGAGTCAACAAGCCGAGGACCAAAATGCTCAAAAAAATTCTGTCTGCACTGAATATGTACAGACTTTTTCTTATCATTGTTCCCTTAAAAATACAGCATAACAGTGATTCACATAGCATTCCCATTGCATTGGGGAGATGAGTTTTTTAAGACTGATTTATTTATTTGAAAGAATGCAACAGAGAGAGGAGATGGGAGAGACAGAGAAATCTTCCATTGCTCGTTCGCCCCCCAAATGGCCACAATGGCCAGGGCTGCACCAGGCCAAAGCACTGGGTCTCCCATACAGGTAGCAGAGGCCCAAGTACTTGTGCCATCCTCTGCTGCCTTCCCAGGTACATTAGCAGGAAGCTGGATCAGAGCAGCCAGGACTCAGATACAGGAGGGCTTGTATCACAACCAGTGACTTAACCCACTGTGCCACAACACCGACCCAAAAGACAATTCAAAATATGTAGGAGGCTGTGTGTGGGCTAGACGCAAATACTACACCATTTTAGGAAGAGACACAAGTACCCCAGATTCCGGCATCCTCAGACTTTCTATCTGTAGGGAGTCCTGGAACAAATCCTCTGCGGATAGCAATGGATGACTGTTTCCGAGACAGCAGTAAAGCTAGACTCCCCCCCCCCCCCCCCCCCCCCCCGGTCCCCACGTCGAGAAGGCTGGACTACCAAAGCAAGCACGACCCGCCAAGAACCAGCAGCAGCGCTCAAGGAGAGAAGTCCTCTCACGCGCTCCCCTGTCGGCTTCCCTTCCCTCTGCCAGCCAGGCTGATGGACGCGCCCGGAGTGGCTTCCCTCCACCGCACCCCCAAGCATCTCTGCGTCTCTGAAGAGATTATGCGTCCCCACTCACCCAGCCGGCCCCTTCCCCATCGTTAACTCAGAACAGGAAGCAGGGAAGAGGTCAGATTCCTCCCCCAGCAGACAGCGAGGAGACCAGAAGAAGCCAGGGCTTATGGCCAACTCGGGGCGTTTTAGGACAGCCGCCGCCTGGAGTTCCTCGAACCTCAGCAGAGAACGGCACTGATCGCCTCCCGCAGCCCTCACTGGCAGCTCCTCTCCTCAGCCTCCAGCTCACACGGGAATAAATGACAGCATAAAACCCTACTTGTCCAAATGATCTCCATGAGGAAGCTGGCTCTGTCTGCGCTGGGCCCGGGCCCCTGGCGCTCCTGGGGATTAAGGGGGTGCATTGCTGGAGAGACCCACCAGGCCCCAGTAATACTTTAGTACCGGCTCCAGTTACCCAGAAGCAAGGAATGGCAAGCAGCCAGGATGCCGCCCCCTTCCTCCTGTGGAAAACTCTATTAGAACATTCTACCAACCACCACCCTGGACTCTGGGGTCACCTTTGTTTAAAAGCCCCAAGTCAATTCCATTTAGTTCCCCAGCCCGGGTTCCACTATCAAGTCTGCAGCATTAAAGACTCTCATTTCCAGCTCCTCTCCACAGGCCTCTTTCTCCAGGAAGTCTCCCCAGATTAATTTCCTTCCCAGTGACTTTGCAATGTCTGAGGCCTCCTCAACTCTTCATCCTCTCAGGATAGAGAACTTCTGAAAGTACTAACTTGATGATAACAACCGGAGGATTGATGTGTCACGCCTAAACCAGAACTTCTACATCTAAATGAGTACCACCTTCTGCAAACACGTAGTCACCTTAGGAGGGCGTATTCATCCAGGCCTGGCTTCCGCTTTTCCAAAGTTATCTCCCCATGTAAACTGGCTTTCAGAACCAGTTTAGGGCCCAGATGAGAAAGGGAGTCTTCCAATGCAGCAACCAAGTCAACGTTTCAACTCAAACTCCCCCATCTTATTCGTCGTTCTCAGTTCTATTTTTTTTTTTTTTAAGATTTATTTATGTGAAAGGCAGAGTGACAGAGAGTAAGGGACAGACAAAGAGATCAATCTTCCATCCCCTCATTGACTTCCCCAAATGGCCACAACAGCCAGGGCTGCGCCAGGCCAAAGCCAAGAAGCAGGAGCTCCATCCACGTCTCCCACTTGGGTAACAGGGACGGGATCAGTTGGGCCATCATCCACTGCTTTTCCAGGCACATTAACAGGAAGCTGGATGAGAGCAGCTGGACCTCAAACCAGCACTCCGATATGGGGTGCTAGTGTCGCAAGCAAGCTTAACCTGCTGCACCATAGTGCCAGCCCCTCACTCCTAGTTTCAATGTTAGTCAATGCTCCAAATACGAGCTCAACTTTCAGAGGCACACGATGTGTCTCCTTGACATGACCCAAATGCTAATACATTGACTCTGAGAACATTTTCTGACAATGTGTATAAAACTCGGCTTACATCTAGTCATACCTAATGCACTGGATCAAGATGACTGGTTACTTTCTCCCAGCTCAAACAACCTATTTCTGCAGTGCCTGGGGGTACCAGACAGGAAGAACAGTGAGGTCCACGCAGTCGGTGCCAGGTAGACAGGTAGAGGCACCTTACATTCACACCTTCCTCCCTCTGTATCCCACACTTCTTACACTACAGGATAGGAGAGGATTTGGGACCCAGATAGAGAGGAACAGGAGGAGGGTCAGGTCAGCACCCCAACCACCATCAGGCTTTTCAACCAGGCGTCCAGGGACAGCTGCCCCCACAAGGAGCCAGGAGAACTGGGCTGTGTTTTTCTCTAACCATGTCCTCCAGGCATCAACCCGTCCGAGCCCCTTCCTGCCTCTCCACATGGAGTGACAGGCGAGGCTCGGCAATGGGTCACGACAGGCCTGATTTCAGTCCACACAGAGCATCTTGGTTTAAATGAATGGGGGAAAGTCTCTGTGGTGCAGACCTCTGCCTCCCTCCCTGTCGTTTCTCGAGGTCCAGCAAGGGGAGGGGCAGCAAGGAGCACAGAGAGGCTGGCCCCAGCAGGGCTGACTCCAGACCCCACCCTTCAGGGCCCAGTTCCCACTGGGAAGAACTCAAGGACTGTTCCTATTGGCAGGAGGACTCTGGGAGTGAGAAAGGAGCAATCCCTTCTGCCTATACATACCTCCCTCTGAAACACACACATACACACACACACACACATGCATACACACACACCATCTCTGTCCTCTACCTCCCTGGGTCTCAGATGCTGCACTCCCCACTCCCCCATCACTCACCTGTCCACACTGCCTCTGAGATGCATCCAACATTTATTACCCCTGAGGTACTGAAGGCCTTCATTTTGCCTCCACTTCAGGCTGTTAATACGGGGTTGTTTAGTTCAAGGTTATCACCAGGCCTAGACTGTGAGCCCCTGAGGACAGAAGCCAGGCACACCTGACCCTCTGCAGCAGTGCCCGTACCTGCAGAAGAACTGAAGCCCAGACCACCTTCCCCTGCGCCCTCCCCGCCCCTCCCCACAAAGCGCTCACCTCCCACACTGATCCAGGAACCGCTTCACCTCCCGGCTCCTAATTCTCAGCCACTTGGTGCCCACTCTGCACAAGAGGATCTTCCTGACTTTTCTTCCTAGAGAGTGTGCTAGAAGCCATCAGTAAACATATCAGCAACATTCTCTCCCCAGCCAAGGATACTTTGAACCACAACCCGTCCTCTGGGCCCTGCCTAGGAAACCCCCACAGAAACCACAAGAAAACCCAAGGCCAGGGCCCAGCCGCCTGCACTGTGGAGCCCCAAAGGCACTCTCCACATCTTTGAGAACCCGCAGGCTTTCCTTCCTGACTCATGGAAGCACGCATGACCTGAATCTGTAGGTTTCCACAGGCACAAGGTCTCCCAGCAAGGCAGAGAACCGAGGCTACCAGGCTGGGTTCAGGGCATCAGCCCACGCGCAGTCCAGCCAAGAGTCGCTTCCAAAAGCAAGCGGGTTTGCTTCTATAGCCTGAGACAAGAGCTCTAGGGAGCTCTTGGGGTGCTGGTACTGTTTTGTATCTTGATCGCAATCTGTCTCACATCAGTAGATGATGCATTTGTTAAAACTTAGACGTACAGTTGATATGTACAGTTCATCGTACATAAACTTTACCTCAAAGGAAAAGAAAGCTCTAAGTGTATATATATGTATATATATTTATATTATATAATATATAAATGTATGAATGTGTATAATTTATTACTGTTAACCACTTCAGACTATCAACTTAGATGCTTTCTATTATATACACCAAAATCTGACTCGCTAACAAGAAATTTTTTGTAATAAAAAAATAACATGTAATTAAAATATTCACTTCATAGTATAACCAATCTACATAATCCATCCTCCCTAGACTGTCTTA